CGACACGGCAAAAGCTACGCGCGAGCTGGGTGTAGCTAACCGTGGACATGCAGAATCAGTAGACCACGACGGCGCTGCCAAATCGGCGCTGGAACGCGAGGTTGCCTTGGGCCGCGTCGATGGAGATTCGGCATCAACGCGCGCGCCATCGAGGGCGGGTGATGGTGTAGATGGTGCGTCTCCGTTTATGCATGGTGCTCCTGTCGGCAACCGTCAGCCAGAGGAGGGCGCAGGTTCCACAGAGGGTGCGCGGGTGGAGCGAACGAGGCGCCTGGGGAAACAGAAAGAAACGTTTTGCGAGTCGTATAGAACGAGCGCGACAGAGCCCACGCAGCGTTCGTCCATGATGCGCGGTCTGTCGCGCAGAAACGAGCCCGATGCAAGCGCGGGCGCGGTCGCGGGTGCGGCAGCAGCAGATAACAACGACAAGCCAGTTCAGGAGGGTGCCGCAGTTGGCGCAGTCCCAGAGGCGGATACGACGCAATAAATGTTTTTTGCAGCGCGCGCCAACCCAGCGTCGAACGATCCCCGACGGGCACGGGAAGGAGCGGTGGCAACGGCAGCGAAGCTGTTGCGGGAGATCCCTACTGTGCCCGCGGATCCAGAGGACCCCAATAAACCGTGGGGGGCAGCTTTGGTCGAGAACGACGCGGTAGAACTGCCGCCCACGCAATGTGTTTCCCGAGGTTTCCTTTGGACCGGCGTAGACGAGTGCGAGCTTCTGAACCATGTCTGCGTAGCACGCGGAGATGTCGTGCAGCCGATCGCGGACGTGCATTCGCCCGCGCACTCGCTGCAGTGCTGCGAGTGCACGGAGATGTTGAAGGGGGCAGGGGAAAAGTGGTTCACGACTTGTGACCAACGGGCCGAGATGGCCTGCAGAGTGGCGGGGGCCGAGTCCGAAAGGATCAGAGTGTTCGTGCGGACGGGCAAACGCGACAGGCGCGCAGGGCCAGCATCCCGGAGGAAGTCGCGGACAGAGTCTCAGGGGTGGCAGCAGAATGTACGAGGCAAATTCAAGATCCGTTGCGCTGAACGCTGTGAATTCCTGGAGACGGAAGCAGAAATTACGGCAAACCAATGCGCGACGAAGGGCGCAGGGGCGAAGCTCTGCAAGAAGCGCGCGGGGACGAGAAGCGGATGGAACAAGTGGAGCCAATCGCAGAAGGAAACGAAGTACATAAATGAAACGAACACTGCTCGACGAAGCACACGCCAGCAACAGCCGCTGAGGTGTTCGGCGTGCCCAAAAGAAGCAGACGGAAGAGGGCGGGAATTCGCGGGCGCGGGGCATCTGGCAGCAGACCAAATCAAGCACTGTTATCAGACGGGCGCAGGTCATAGGCCAGCGAAATTCCGCGACTGCGACGCGCATCACAAGCGATCGCGGGTGTTCAGGTGTTCCGCGACCGACAGAAGCAGATGGAAGAGGCCGAGAGTTCGCGGACAGGACGCATCTGACAGATAAGCAAGTGGAGCACTTCTTCGCGAAGGGTTCGGACCATCGCTCGGCGGTGTGCCGAGCGTGCCACGACCAAAGGAAGGGGGCGAAGAAGTTTGAATGCTCCGCATGTCCCCTGAAAAAGGACGGATCGAAGCTTACGTTCACTGGCGGCGGCCATCTGTCGAAAGACCAGAAGAAGAAGAAGAAGAAGTGTTTCCACCGAGGCAATCTGGTGGTTTGCGCAAAGTGCTAAAGGCGGGGCGGGCGCCTCGGAGAGAACCGCCGAAACGCCCTGCGGAGGCAAGCGACGAGCGCGGCGGGAAGCCTCGAAAGTTGCGAGGAGTCTGACCGCGAGTCGCGCGCGCGCCGTCTTAGGGGCTCTCTCGGGCCGTCCTCGGCCCCTCTTGGGCCGTCTTGGCGCCCTCTTGGGCTGTCGCGGGGCCCTCGTAGAGGCTTCTTAGATCGTCTTGGTGCGGTATTGGGGGGCTCTGGGGCCGTCCAGGAGCGGGGGGCGCCCCAAAAAGGGCCTCGGGGGCCGTCTGGAGGCCGTCTTCGGTGTTTTTCATCGCTCTTGGACCGTCTGGGACCATGTGGTGGCCGTCTTGAGGGCTCTATTGGAGGATTCTTGCACCGTCTTGGTGCGGTCTTGGAGGGCTCTGGGGCCGTCCAGGAGCGGGGGGCGCCCCAAAAGGCGCACGTGCGAAACAAACATGTACGTTTTACGAAGGGAACGGGCGCGTTTTTGCGTTTAGAGGCCCTGTTGTGGCGCATCGTGGGTGCCTTTTGGGGCGTCTTGGGAGCCTCTTGAGGCGTCTGGAGGCCGTCGTCGATGTTTTTGATCGCTCTTGCACCGTCGGGGGCCATGTGGAGCTCTCTTCGAGGCCACTCGGAGCGCTCCTGGAGCGCTCTTGGGGCCGTTTTCGAGGCTCTCTTGGGCCGTCTTGGGCGCCTGTTGGCCCGTCTTGGGGCCCTCTAGGGCTATGTGGGTAAGTCTCTTGGAGGCGTCTTGGGCCGTCTGGGAGCGGGTTTGGGGGGCTCTGGGGCCGTCCAGGAGCGGGGGACATCCCAAAAGGCGCACGCGTGAAAACATATACGTTTTACGAAAGGAACGGGCGACTTTTTGCGTCTAGAGGCCCTCTTGGGGCGAATCTTGGATGCCTCTTGGGGCGTCTTGGGGGCCTCTTGAGCCGTCGGGAAGCCGTCGTCGATGTTTTTGATCGCTCTTGGACCGTCTGGGACCATGTGGAGCTCTCTTGGAGGCCACTCGGAGCGCTCCTGGAGCGCTCTTGGGGCCGTTTTCGGAGCCCTCTTGGGCCGTCTTGGACGCCTGTTGGCCCGTCTTGGGGCCCTCTAGGGGTATGTGGGGGATCCTCTTGGGGGCTTCTTAGGCCGTCAGGAAGCGGGTTTGGGGGGCTCTGGGGCCGTCTGGGAGCATCGGAGAACCCAGAAGCCGAACTTGTGAAAAATGTACGTTTCACGAAGGGAATGGGCCAATTTTTGCGTCTAGGGACCCTCTTGGAACGCATCTCGGAGGCCTCTGGGGCACTCGTGGCGACCTCTTCTGCCGTCGAGGAGGCCTCGTAGCCCTTCTTTGGGACACTTTGGGCGTCTTGGAGAGCTCGTTGGGCGTCCCGGAGCCATTTCGAGGCCACCAGAGGAGTCCCTGCACGATTTTCGCGAGGCTTTGCACGATTTTCGGGAGCGGATGGCACCTCCGGGGGATTCGGCCCGACCCCCCCCCCTCCAAATCGACCGGACCAGGCTCCCGGGGGAGGGGTTTGGGGAGGGGGAACATCTCACACGCCGATGAACCCCAAGGGGTCGGCGGATACCCCTACGGTGCCACCGTAAGGGTGTAAATTTTCCAGCCGCCCTGGGGCAGGTGTCCCCGACGGCGAAAAAGTTTATTTTATACCGTCCTTCGCCCGACAAGTTGGGGGTGGACGATGCGAATTTTGTATCGGCGGAGGGACATGGCGAGTTTGGGGCTCCGGCGCCCAGGTCGGGGTGGCCTTCCGTCGTCGGGTGCAGCACGGCCCTTGGTCAGAGCAGTATGGCCCGGTCGTCTGTGGAGGCATACGCCGTGTCGGCGTGGACGGCCAGGTCGCAGTGAGGGCGTCGGTGCTCAGTTCGGTGTGGTTTTGGCTTCGTCGTTCGCGTGTGCCTCTGCGGGCTTTCTGGGTTAATGAACCAGTCCAAACAGGCCTTCTCCTCCTCCTCCTCCTCCTCCTCCTCCTCCTCTCCCTCCTCATCGGTTTCCTACTCTTCCTGCTCTTCCCTCCTCCCCCCTTCTCTTCAAACTGCTCCACTTACTTCCGCGTCCTCCTCCTCCTCCTTCTCCTCCTCCTCCTCCTCCTCCTCCTCATCTGGGGAGAAGCAGGACCCATCGAAAAACGCTGGAGAACCTCCAGGAATCCTGCTTTTCCTCGTCCTCCTCCTCCTCCTCCTCCTCCTCCTCCTCCTCCTCCTCCTCCTCCTCCTCCCTTCTCCATCTTCCCCACCTCCTCCATCCTCCATTCCTCTCCTTCACCTCCCTTCTCCATCTTCCGTCCCCTTCCTCCGCAGCTGGCAAGTCGGGCGTTAAGTGTAGGAGCGCAGCAAAATATCCCCCTCCTCCATCCTCCATCCTCTTCCTCCCTCGTCCTCTCCTTTTTCTCTCCTCTGCTCCGCTCTTTTCTCCTCCCTCCCCTCCCCCCCTACCATCCTCCTCCCCAGGCCCCCGACGTCATGATTTGTCACGATTTCGACCCCCGGAGGTCTCGATCCATTTCCCGGGACAGGTTTTTCGTCCTGAGTTGTTTGTTGACTGTCTCGGGGCCCAGCGAGGGACTCCCCAGGCCGACCTCGGCGAAAATCGCTCGTCGTGAGTTACTCACGATCCGGAGGGGTCTGTATTCTCCCTTCCTTCTGTTTCTCTCCCTCTCCTCCCCAGAGGTCTGGGCCCCCCCCCCACACACACCTCTTCGGCGGACGCCAGCTTTTGAATACCCTTCCTTCACATCTCACACACTTGCCATGGTCTTGTTGCCGCACGCGTGCATGCATTCCACACGAGAGTGTATTTGATGGGCCTGTTTTCTATTATCACCACCACCACCATAAGTTGGAGGGGGGGGAGGTGGAGGACGAGGAGGAGGATGAGGAAGAAAAAGAAGAAGATCGGGGGTGGACAGAACCCCCAACAGTGACACGTCGATTAGTGAATTGTCCGTTTTCGGTTCTCGAGAGGGCGCCGTGGCCGTTATTTTCCAGGCTTGCGCCCGCCAGGTTTGGGCCTCAGGTCGTTTTCACTAAACCACGTTTTGCTAAAGGGGGGTCTGTCCATCCCCGAGAAGACTACGAGGAGGAGGACCCCCTCCCCCTCCTACTGATGGCGGTGGCGGTGGAAAACAAGCCCACCATATGTAACACACACACATATAAATACATGTATGTATGTATACAGATACAGACATCTGCCTGCGAGCAGAGAGGTGCCACGGCCCCGCCCGCCCAGCCGGAGTCAGGCCCGAGGCTGCTCCGCCTTGGTGGCACGCCCGCCCCGCGCGCCTCCCAGGCGGAGGCGCTGAGGACTTCCCCGTCAGCCCCGCTGCAGGGGGGCGACCGGCGCAGCGAGCTGCTGGCGCTGAACAAGGAGGCGCGGCCGCGGGCCGCCTCCCGCTCGACTCGGAAGCCGGGCAAGGGCTGCTAAATCCGTGGCCTGAAATCGACCTGAGTTGGCTTCCGGGAAGAAGCGGTTGACTGGGGCCGCGCCTCATTCCGGGAGTTGTTTTTTCTTTCCGGCCGTTTTAGCAGCCACGGTTTTAGCAGCCCTCGCCCAGCTTCCGATCGACGCACGGGCCTCGCGTCGCAAAACGGAAGGGAATCCTCCCTACAGATCGTCGCAACCGTCGCGCGGAGCGAAGCGAGACGAACATCGTCGTAATCGCCGCTTCCTCTACAGTTCACCTCGCGTCGCAAACGAAACGCGACGATTATGTATTGCGCGTTTTTTTGTCCCCCCCCCCGATCAGGGTTTGACGTTTTGTTACGTTTTCGATACCTAGGGTGATTTCCATCAGCTGTGCCTCCTCGAGTGCACTCCCAGGGTGCCAGAATCGTGCTGGAATGTGGCCGGAGGCACGAGTTACGGCTCAAAGGCCACCATGGGAGGCACGACCGACGCTCGATCCACACCCAGGGATCAACGTTCGACCCACACCCTTGCTGCAGCTCCCACCTGGGGCCGCAAGGGGGGGCAGGGTATGGACAAAAAGCTTGGCCTCAGGATCTGAATCCCTGTCCCCAATCCGCCCAGGCATGCGCAGGGGCATGTGCAGGGGCATGTGTAAAACGTTGATCGCCGATCCCGCCCAGATCCACTCGTGTCGTGACAATATGCGTCGATCAGCTTTTTCCCCTAAACAGTGCTTGCACTTAGGGTTTCTTACTTAGGTTAGCCATCTCGGGACCAGGAGCGGCTTTTGCGGGCGATGCCGCCTGTCGCCGTCCGTCGCCGCCGCTCGTCTCGGCACCAGTAGCGGCCGTCGCCTTCCGTGCCGTTCGTCGTCGCTGCCGTCGCCGTCGTCGCCGCTCGGGGCGAGTGGCGGCTTTTGCGGGCGGTGCCGCCCGTCGCCGCCGTCGCCGTCACATAGATTGCGCCACAGAGATTGTACCACATAGATTACACAGCATAGACTGCATCGCATAGGTTGCACCGCGTGTATTGCACCACATCGATTGCACCACATATTGCACCGCATAGACTGCATTGCAAAGGTTGCACCGCGTAGATTGCACCACATCGACTGTACCGCACATATTGCAACGCATAGACTGCGTTGCATAGGTTACACCGCGTAGGTTGCACCATACCAAGTGCCGCATAGACTGCACTGCATAGATTGCATTACATAGGTTGCATCGCATACATTGCACCACACAGACTGCACCGCATAGACTGCAAGAACCTACTGTTTAGGGTCCACGCTGGCTAGCATACTCGTTTCGGACGCTGGTGGCCCTCGCCTGGTGCACCAGAGCCGTCAAGAAACTACTCAGGATGAGAAGCCAGTCCCAGGGAAGGAGTCGAGCCTTCGGCGACCCAGTGCGGTCGGACCGAGGCATAAGATCGCGATTCGGGAAAGGTGCCGTAACGTCTGGTTTGCTGGATGTTCTTGTGCATCTTGGAGGAGGACACCCTCGGATGTTCTTCATTTTGGGCCGGCGGGCGGTCTCATGTTCTTGCATGATGTTCTTCTGTCTTAGGGTTGGACGTATGGGAGAAACAGGACGTCGGATTTGAACGTTTCTCTTGATGCATTGGTTCGTTTAGGGGCAACCAGGGCCGTCTGCGATCCGATTCGAAACGATTCGATTCGCGAGGTGGGCTCGCGATTCCGACCTGATTCGCTTCGGCTCTGTTCATTGGGCATCAGGCAGAGCTGGCCGGAGCCAGGCGCGGCGATGCGGAAGGATCCGCCGGCCATCCGATCCGTTTCCTATCCGATCCGTCTCCGCGATGCGATCTAGCATCTAGCTTGGGCCAGGCAGCGCTCGGGGGAGATGGGATCAGGGGGGACGCATCGATCCCACCCTGACTTTTCAGGAGGACAACAAACATAGCACGCGACTTAAAAACCTATCCCAGAGCTATTTCATGTCTTGGTTTTCGGCTGTTTCGTTTAGTGTTTTAGGTTTTTAGGCCCCTCGTGCTGAAAAATAGCTCTCCGGAAGGTCAGGGCAAGTGGCTAACCGGTCGCCGGGAGGGGCCTGACGGCTCCCTCCGCCCCAGGAGCGTCCGGGCTTGCCAAAGGGATGCCTGCGGTCGGCACGAAGTAGAAGGTCGAGGTCGGCTCGGGAGGTGTGCCCTGCTGTTCTTCTGGTTTGCTGGATGTTTTTGTGCATCGTGGGGGGAGGGTACCCTTGGATGTTCTTCTCGGCGGCGAGCGAGGGGGGGAAAATGAGAAGGAGAGGGCCTTCTGAGACGGCGGCGGGACTTCTCAGAAGCCCTCGCGCCTTCTGAGAAGCTTTCTGTGTCTTCGGGGAATGCTTCGACAAATTCTCAGAATGCCCAGGGACTTCCGAGCCTTCTGAGACGGCCTTCTCCTTCTCACTTCCCCCCCTCGCTCGCCGCCTATCTTCAGTTTGGGCTGGCGGAGGTTCACATTTCCTTGAATGATGTCCTCTGTCCGAGGGTTGGACGTTTCGCCGAGCCGAGATCGATGTTTCCCCCGCTGGGTCGGTCTTCGCTGTCGCTCCGCCTCACTTGCCGTGCGCCGCCGTCCTTTCGGGAGCCTTGGGTGCCGATCTTCAGGGGTGGCGCTGTCGTGGAGGGGTCTTGGCGCCGTGCTTCAATCTGGGAGACCAAGGGCCGTGCTCAAAAGGGCCTTCTTTGAGCCCTGGGTAAATGTGTTGCTGCATCTTCGGGGGACCTTCCCTATCCAGTAAATTACAGTCGTTTCTCGTACTTTGAGGTGGGTTCGACGACGATTCGGCGTGACTTCGACGTGGCTTCGACACGGATTCGGCACGGATTCGACACGGATTGGACGCGCTCGACACGGATTCAACGCGGATCGCGGCGCCATAGGACAGACAAAATCCATCCCGAAGAGGCATCAGAAGGTTTCGGGCCGGCTTCTTAGGGGCCTCTGCGGGCCTACGAGGGCGTTGTTTGGGGGCATGTTGGGGGTTTTTGGGCTATTTGATGGGGGAGGGCTCCCAGGTCCCCGTCGGGTTCCTCCTCTTAGGCTCTTCCTGGCGTCCTCATGGGGGTGTCTCTCGGCAGTTTTGGGGGGCCTTTTGGCTTTTGGGTCCCCGTCGAGTTCCTCCTCCTGGGCTCCTCCTGGCGTCCTCACGGGAGGTCTCTCGGCAGTCTTGGGGGCCTTTAGGGCCTTGGGCCCTCTTGGGGCCGTGGGGCTCCGTGGGCCGTGGGCTGCCTTGGAAGCTGTGGCAGGCTCGCGCCGTGCCGGCCGGCGACAAGCCCGCCGCTGGCGTTCAGCGTGGAATGTTGCCGGCGGCCCAGAACCGGTCGATGTTCAAGCAGTGGCGAAGCGTTTTGGCGTGCCTATAGGCCGACCAAACAGTGTTCTAGGAACCTTTCGTGGTCTGCACGAAATGTTCTTGGAGCATTTCTGGCCGGGGCTATCCTTGCTTCAACACATCGGGTTTATGTTCTAAGAACATCGATTTTGTTCTGAAAATATGTTTGTGTTCTAAGAGCATGTCGTGGTCGGCCTCTAGAAATGCTGGGACGGTCGGTCCCTGCTCAATGCCAGCGGCCCAGAACCGGTCGATGTGTGTTCAATGTTGAACGATCCCCCCGGCGTCGGATTCAAAAATAGTAAAATTCGCCTGGGGATGATTTTCCACGACTTCTTCACATTTTTGAATATTTGTTTGACTATTTTTCATTTTTCTTACCGAATCCGCCTGTAGGAGGACCTGCCCGACCTAATCCAAGGTGGCAGCGCGAGGGCGCGAGGGCGCGAAGAGAACCCCGCGCACCGCAGCATGGGGAGCGGTGCGCGAATCTCGGCGACTTCGGGTACTGCAATATACCTTCACCGAGTGACCCGCACTGGCCCCGTTGAGGACTCCGCTCTCTCCAAACCGGCCGGGCCAGGCTCCTGGGAGCAGGGTTTTGGGAAAGGGCAGCCATCTCTTGCGCAGAGGACAAACACGAGGGGTCGCGAAGTTTGGTCAGGGTGTTCACGGCGTGAGTGGGTGTGGGGACCCAGCCTATATTCTTGCCCCTTCCCTGGCGCTTCTGTCGCTTTTCCTCCACCCCTCCCTGCGCAGCCGCGGATCCTTCGGAAACATGCGGAGGTGGAGGAGGAGGGATGCCGAGTGGGCAGGATCGAGGAGGAGGATGAGGAGGAGGGGGAGGAGGCGGTGGAGGCGGATGTCGGTCTTCTCCTTACTATCTTCCAGCTCCTTGTCCAGCTCCTCCTCCAGCTCCTCGTCATCACCACGACAACCACCACCACCATCATCATCATCCTCAGCATCATCATCGTCGTCATCATCATCATTGTCATCATCATCATCGTCCTCATCATCATCGTCGTCGTCATCATCGCCGCCATCACCAGCAGCAGCAGCACCACACCATCATCATCACCCTCATCAGCATCACCACCATCCGCACCATCTTCATCATCAACACCACCATCATCCGTATCGTCATATTCATCATCATCATCATCATCATCATCATCATCATCATCATCATCATCTTCAGCATCATCATCATGAACATCAGCATCATCATCAACAACCTCATCATCGCCAATTTCATGGTTATCAGCATTACCTGCATCATCAGCATCCTCATTAGCATCATCATTATCATCATCATCACCAACATCGTCAACATCAAAATCATCCTCATAATCATCAGCATCATCGGCATCCGCATCCGCATCATCAGCATCAACATCATCATTGCCCTCATCGTCATCAACAACACATCATCGTATCCATAGTCCCTGCCAACAGCGCGGTCTGTGGCGGGATCTGTGCATATACTGGTTTGCGACTGGCGTCGGATTGGATCCGTGGATGTATGTCTGTGGCGGAACCGATGTCTATCGACCGACCTCCGTATCTATTGGCTTCACCATGTATCCTTCGATCCATTGATCGAGCTCCCCCGCTGTCTCAAAATCTCTATCCACTCGCGGACCTCACAATGAAAATACCAATTCGGCTGTCTCAGTACTGACCTGATAGGTCCCATCATCTTTCCATCTATCGAGCAGCCGCGGGACCACCATGGGGCATCCGCGGGAAAACCACGGGATGACGATTCGATAACCTTATGTCGGGCCTGTCCCTCTACATGGGGATTATTCAAAAATGGTTCAAACATAGCCTGGGGACTATTTTTTTAGTTATTTAATCGCTTCGCTCATTCCACCGGCCCATAATGTCGCACCGTGGTCGCCTGTCCGAGTGGTCGTTTGCAGTGTGGAGCTGCGGCGTCGGGAGCCGAACGCGGGGGAGGAGGACCACCCCGACCCGCGTTTCCCAAGTCGCGTCTAGCTGGAGTCTTGGAGGCGTCCTGGGGCCTCCTGAGGAATTTTTGGAGGCCTCCAGAGGGCCTTTTGGAGGCCTCTTGAGGCCTCTTGAGGGCCTCTTGGGGGCCTCTTGGGGCCTTCGGGGGCGTCTTGGGGCCTCCCGGGGGCCTCTAAGGGCCGAGAGCTCGAAATTCTGTTTCGTGAACCCCCTTTTGGGGCGTTCTTGAAGCGTTCTTGGGGCCCTCTTGGGCCGTCTTGGAAGCCTCTTGGGCCGTGTTGGAGCCGTCTTGGGCCATCTTGGAGCCCTCTGGGGGGCGTCTGGGGCCCTCTTGGGGCGATCTTGGAGGCCTCTTGAGCTGGTAGGGGCGTCGGGGAACCGAAAAGGTTGAAACGCCCAAATCTGTCCAAGGCCTATGGAAAAGCATTGTTTGTTTGCCTCTTGGGGCCCTCTTGGGAATGCACTTGGAGACCTCCTGGGGATCTTGGAGGCTTCTTGGGTCATCTTGGAGACGTCTAGGGCCGTCTGGAGGCCATCTTGGGCGTCGTGGAGCGATATTCGGGCGTCTCGGACCTCTCTTGGTCCGTGTTGGGGGCGTTCTTGGGGCCCTCTTGGGCCGTCTTGGAGGCCTCTGGGGCCGTCTTGGAGCCGTCTTGGGCCCTCTTGGGGCCCTCTTGGGGGCCTCTTGGGCCCTCTTGGGGCGATCTTGGAGGCCTCTTGAGCCGTTTAGGGGCGTCGGGGAACCGAAAAGGTTAAAACGCCCAAATCTGTCCAAAACCAAAGGAACAAACACAGTTTTTTGCCTCTTGGGGCCCTCTTGGGAGTTCTCTAGGAGGCCTCTTGGGGCATCATGGAGGCTTTATGGGCCATCTTGGAGACGTCTTGGGCCGTCGGGAGGCCATCTTGGGCGTCGTGGAGCGATCTTCGGGCGTCTCTCGGGCCGGGCGAAAGGGGGGGATTGGGAAAGGGGGGGTTACGAAATCTGCTGCATGCAGCTGGTTTCGGCCCCACCGAGGGGCCCATTCCTCGATACATAGCCGCCTCCGGCGCCGGGAGGCGCCGGGAAAATCAGCTACGTGAGCTGATTCTCACCGCCCCCTTTGCTATCCCCCCCTTTCGCCCGGCCCGAGTCTCGGGCCTCTCTTGGAACGTGTTGGGGGCGTTCTTGGGGCCCTCTTGGGCCGTCTTGGAGGCCTCTGGGACCGTCTTGGAGCCGTCTTGGGCCGTCTTGGGGCCCTTTTGAGGGCCTCTTGGGCCCTCTTGGGGCGATCTTGGAGGCCTCTTGAGCCGTTTAGGGGCGTCGGGGAACCGAAAGGTTGAAACGCCCAAATCTGTCCAAGGCCTATGGAAAAGCATTGATTGTTTGCCTCTTGGGGCCCTCTTGGGAGTGCTCCTGGAGGCCTCTCGGGGCATCTTGGAGGCTTTTTGGGCCATCTTGGAGACTTCTTGGGCCGTCTGGAGGCCATCTTGGGCGGCGTGGAGCGATCTTCGGGCGTCTCGGACCTCTCTTGGATTGTGTTGGGGGCCTCTTGGGGCCCTCTTGGGGCGATCCTGGAGGATCTGGGAGAGTGTCCCGGGCGTGTCCCGGGCTCCGCCCGGGGTACTTTTGATCCAGGGACCCCCAGGGGCCGCCCTGCGCGCGCGAACCAGAACTACTGTTTACCAGTTACCGGAGATCTTAGCACGCTTTTGGCCCGTTGGGCCGGCGAATTTTTTTGATCATTTGGGAGCATGTTTCGAGTATTCTTTATTTTTCATCGTAAATCCCCCCGTAGGGGGACATGTCCGACTTAACGATAACCTCGGGTCAAACACTGGGCAACCGCGGGACAACCACGGCCACGGGACAACGGCGGCACAACCACGGGACAGCCACGAGACATTCGCGGCAGATCCGCGTGGCGGCCACGGGAAGGTCAGGCCCACCCCTGGCGACACGTCTGGGGGTGCGCCAGGGCGGAGTTATTGTATCATGAGATGGGCATGGGATGGAGGAGGAGGGCGACAAGCAGAAGGAACAGGAGGACGATAAGCAGAAGGAGGAGAAGGATGAGGAGGATGAGGATGACGATGATGATGACGATGACGATGATGATGATGATGATGCGTATGATGATGATGTAGATGATGATATGATGATGAAGATGATGATGATGGATGATGATGCTGATGCTGATGCTGATGTGATGCTGATGCTGCTGCTGAATGCTGATGCTGATGCTGATGCTGTTGATGCTGATTGCGATGCTGATGCTGATGCTGATGCTGATGCTGATGTGATACTGATGATGATGCTGATGCTGATGATTGATGATGATGATGATGCTGCTGATGCTGATGCTGCTGCTGATGATGATGATGATGATGATGATGATGATGATGATGATGATGATGATGATGATGATGATGATGGGGATGATGATGATGATGCTGATGATGATGCTGATGATGATGATGATGGGGATAGGGATGGGGATGGGGATGGGGAGGAGGAGGAGGAGGAGGAGGAGGAGGAGGAGGAGTAGAAGGAGGGGGTAGGGCGACGTGAGGATGAGGATGAGGCAGGCGGAGGACGAGGAGGAGGCGGATCTGGGGGGAGGCAGGAGCAGTTGGCGGCAGGAGGAGAAGGCACCCTCCCCCGCCCCAGCTGCTCAACAACGCCCTGATGCAATTCCCTGGCGCCTGCGAGCGGTACTCGGCGAGGCAGCGCGAGGTGCAGGCGCGCGCTCCGGGCGCGCCGCGTGCCGCCCTCGGCTCCTGTCGGGTCCTGCATGCTTCTTGGAGGCCTCCCGAGGGCTCCTTCGGAGGTTCTCTCGCTGATGGGCTTGTTTTCCACCACCAGCAGAAGTTGGAGGGTGGAGGGGGTCCTCCTCCTCTTCTTCTTCTTCTTCTTCTTCCTCCTCCTCCTCCTCCTCCTCCACCTCCTTCTCCTCATTCCCACCTCCAACTTATGGTGGTGGTGGTGAAACAAAAAAACAGGCCCATCACTCTCAGAGGAGGGACAGGTACAGTCGGACCGAGGTATGAGATCGAGGTCGGGTCGGGGAAGGCACCCTGTTGTTTTGCGTGGTTGTTGGTTGTGCTGGTGTTCTTGTGCATCCTGGGGTGGGTGGGTGCCCCTGGCTGTTCCGCGCGTTGTGGCTGGCTGCGGGCCTCGTATTGTTTAAGGATGTTCTTCTGCCCTGGGCCCGCTTGTACCGCCACAGGGCCGATGAGAGGAGAGGAGGGGAGGGAAGGGGAGGGGAGAGGAGAGGAGAGGAGGGGGACGAGGACGAGGACGAGGACGAGGACGAGGACGAGGACGAGGAGGAGGAGGGAGAAGGGAGGAGGGAGGAGGGAGGAGGCCCTCCCCTCGTTCTCACAGTTTTGGGCCTCCTCCGAGGCCCTCGTCGCCACGACTGGAGTCGCCCAGAAGTTCTGCCAAGAGAGCACTTGGGCAGAGGCCCGCGGAGTAGCGTGAAGTGGGGCGTGTCCCTCACAGGAGGGATATTTGTTGAGCATTCTGTGGCTATGTCTGAATCGTGGGGACGATGTTTGAACATTCTGTTGCTATTTTTGCATACGTTTTAACACTTTTTGACATTTCCTCCAAAATCCGCCTGTAGGGGGACATGCCCGACCTAGGAGTAGCGGGATCCGTATTTTTTGGTTCCCCATTTCCGAATGTTCTCTCGGAGGCCCTCACGGGGCGTCTCGGCAGTCCTCCGATGCATGTGTTCAAGGTTGCCTGGGATTTCTGCGCGCCGTCGCCGCCGTCGTTGTCGGCATGTATGGTGGATCTTTCGATTCTGGGCGCCCGCTGCGATCTCCTGGGCCCCTGTGGGACCTCCGCAGATACCTGCAGGGACATCAGGAGACCGCTGGAGGCCACCAGTCGTCGTCGCCGTGGTTGTGGTCGTCGCCGGTCGTTGTCGCCGTCGTCTTCGTCGTCCACATCGGCGCCGCCGCCGTCGTCGTCGCCGTCGTCGCCGTCGTCGCCGTCGTCTTCGCCGTCGCCGTCGCCGCCGTCGTCGCCGTCTTCGTCGCCGTCGCCGTAGCCGTTGCCGTCGCCGTCGCCGTCGCTCGAGGTCCAGCTGTGGGAGGCCTGCATCAGCAGCGAGCTGCAGCGCATGCGGAGTCCTGTCCACGGGACGAAGGCGCCTGGTCTGCTCCGGACCCACGCAATCTTCTTTTCTTTCGTGGAAAACGTCCGTGCAGACGATTTGTTCAGCACGTCAGCTGTCTGGGGATGGAGACTCAAGGTTCAGCTTGCGATCCACTTTCTGTCCCCAGGGCCCTAAGCTCAACTTTCGGGCGAAAAGGACGAAACACATACACCGAGCCTGTCCAGGCCCATCCCTGGGCCAGGGTCGGTGCAAACAAACACCAGGCTCGATGGGGGAAGCTCGATGACCATGCGGGATCTTGTCGACGCCCATCTCGGCCATGGTCCATGCTGACCTTCGCCGATTCGTGGGGATGCTCCATGATTTAACCATGACAAAGATCGGGCCACGCGCAGAGGGGGGTAAGGGGAGATGTGAAGGCTTCCTAGAAGGAGGCTGCGTGTCAGACGGCGAAGGCCTTCAAATAAGCAGCCTCCTTCTAAGACGCCTTCCCCCCTCCTCCATACACCCTCAAAAGCGCCGCCGAAAGATGGGCGATGACCAAGATCGACATCGACGTCTCCGCGCTCAGTCGTTGTCATGGCCGTCGCTCTCTGTCCCTCCAACCTTCCACCTCCACCTTCCATGCTTTCCGACCTCCGCGGGAGGTGCGGAATAATCAATCAAAACCCATTGCCCACATCGACCATATCGAACAAGGGGCGGAAGGTTAGGGCGGAAGGTCCCGAAGGACGAGGGGGAGGGAAAGTTTGGGGGGGAAGAAACGTGCTCATTTAGCGCCCCTTCTGGGTCCCAGGGCGCCATTGGAGGGCCCCTTTAGGTACCAAAGGTGCACCTTTCCTCACGCCCCCCCAAATCTACCGCCCCCCCCCTTGGCCCACTATCCGACGCCGAAAGAGAGAGAGAGAGAGAGAGAGAGAGTGGGACAAAAACACACTGTGGGAAAAAAAACACACTGTGGGGAAAAACACACAACACTGTGTGTGAGTGCGTTTGTTTGCTCCCACACTGTGGGAAACAATTACCCCAGTGCGACCCTACCTAGAAATTGGAGCCCCTAGGAAAGCAGCATTAGTTGCTATGCTATGCTATGCCATGCCATGCTATGCTGCGCTATGCTATGATATGCTATGCTATGCTATGCTATGCTGCGGTATGTTAAATTATGCTATGCTAAGCTATGCCATGATAGGCTATGCCATGCTGTGCAATGCTAAGCTATGATAAGCTATGCTATGCTATGCTAAGCCGCCCCAACACATGTTATGTTATGCTCTGATATGATATGATATGCTATGCTGCGCTGTGTTTTGCTGTGCTGCGCTGCGCTGTGCTATGCTATGCTATGCTATGCTGCGCTATGCTATGTTATGCTATGCTATGCTGGGCTACGCTATGATATACGATGCTATGCTATGCTACGCTATGCTATGCTGTGCTCTGCTATGCTAAAGCTCAGCGAAGCTAAAATGAAGGTCAGCGAGCTAAGATAAACCTGAGCTAAGATGAACACAAGCTAAGCTAATCTGACATAAGTTAAGCTAATATGAGATAAGCAACGCTAAGCTAACGGGACGTACCTGGGGGAACCGTGGGGCGGATACTGGGGGAACCGCCCAGGGCGTGCCCCACTGCCCGGCCTTTCAGCAAACCGAGTAAGAACCCTTCTAGGCAGAGCCTGGGTAGGGAGAAAAAAAACACTGTGGGACAAACAAACACACACTGTGTGTGTGTGTGTTTGTTTTCCTCTGTGTGTTTTGTGTGTGTTTTTCCCACAGAGCGGCAGGCGAGCGCCCCCCGTTTGCATCGAGCCGAGCTGTCGAGCGCGCTTGCCGTCGATGGCGGCAGGCCTCCCAAAGGCCTATAGGCGCCCTCGGCCGCAGGCCGTAATAGAAGTACCCTGACCTTCCAGGAGGGCTAACACATAGCACGCGACTTAACAAACACAAAACAAAAACTATCCCCTCCTGCTCCTCCTGCTCCTCCTCCGCCTCCTCCTCCTCCCTCCTCCCTCCTCCTCCTCCCTCCTCTTCCTCCTCTTCCTCCTCCTCCTCCTCGACCTCCTCTTCCTCCGCCCGCAGGCCCTGACCTTCCACGGGGGATAGAAAACAGCACGCGTCCGAAAAAAACTATCCCAGAGCTATTATATGTCTTGGTTTTGGTCTGTCTCGTTTCGTTTTTTGTTTTTAGTTTTTTGGCCCTCCCGTGCTAAAACACAGCTCTCTGGAAGGTCAGGGCAGTGCGGGGCGAAAGAGAAGCCGCCCTTAGAGCAGCCTCGTGGCCACCCCGGGGCGGACTCGGCTTGGAGGGATGCCCGGACGGGCAGCTCGCAGCCGAGGGGGAGGCCGCGGCCACCGCACCTGCACAGCTTCGCGTCGTGACGGACGGCACCATGGCGGGCGTGCTCTTGGCAAGTGTTCGCCCTCCGGGGGGCCCCGCCGGGTCACGTGGCCACAGGAGAGAGACCCGGGACGAGACCAGTCCCTGGGGAGGGGTTTGGACCCCACGGTCTGGGGGAGATGTTCGGAGCACTGAGTCTCGTGCGGGTGGTAATGGGGGTGTCCCACCCTGACCCTCCAGAGTGCGAAAAAATAGCTCTCCAGACCTATAGACCTATCTGGATTGCCTAAAACCTCGACAGGAATTAAGATGTCGAGGTCCTGGTGCTATTTTTTAGCCCTCCTGGAAGGTCAGAACAAATGGGGGGTGAAGGAGCCCTTTAGGGCCCCTTGTGGAGCCAGGCGTTCACCCCCCGTGTGTCGGGGGCGGCAAAGAGGGGGGTGATGACTTGGGGGGGAGGGATATCATGGCGGGGGCCATGATCAATGATATTTCCCCAGATTTCGTGGCGCCTCTTCTTATTTCATTACGTCCCAAGTGGGGGGGGGAAGGAGCCCTTCGGGGCCCCTTTTGGAGCCAGTTGGTGGGCAAAATGCGCCCTAAAGGATCCCTTTCTCCTGGCATCGCTCAGACGTGTGCATTTTTTCTCGGCGAGCAAAAAAAAAAACACGCACGAAACCGAAAAATGCACGGGAAATGGACGTCCGCGCGACGGCAAGTAAAGGACCCCATTTCTAGGATCTTCTTCTTCATCCCCCGTTTGGGTTGGGTCACTTCTTCCCTTGCCAGCCTTCCCGAGAGCCCCTGGGTGCTGGAAAGCCACGGCGTCGGACGTCCGGGTCGGGGCCACCGGTGGCTCGGCGGCGCGGGCCCGGAGGGCAGAGAGAGCAGGGCCCGGAGATCGGAAGAGCAGCGCCCAGAGAACCGAGGGAGCAGGGCTCGGCACGGCATCGTTCGGACGTGTGCATTCTTCCTTCGGCGAGGACCGTCGAGGAGCATCCTGGATCATTTGGCGAACAGGCCACGCACGAAAACGAAAAAAACACAGGGAATGGACGTCCGAGCGATGGCGAGTCGGTGGGAGTTCGGCGGCCAGGACGCGGTCGGCAGATCGGCGGCCAAGGCTCGGGAGGCCAGCCCAGGTCAAGTCGGCCACGCCCCTCTGTAGGCGTGAGATTCAAAAATAGTGAAAAATAGCATGGGGACTATGTTTTGACTATGTTTGGTTATCGTTGGAGTATTTGGGGGGATTATTTTTGATTTCCCGTGCAACATCGGCATGTAGGGGGGCATGCCCGACCTAAGCCCAGGCGGGACGTGAGAGGGGGCAGGCCTTCTCAGAAGGCTGGAAGTCCTCCCTCCTTCAGAAGTCTGCGAAGCCTTCCCCGAAGAACGCAAATACATACTCAGAAGGCCAGACGGCTTCTGAGAAGCCCCGCCGCCTTCCGAGAAGACCTTCTCCTTCTCACTTCCTCCCTCGCTCGCCGCCGAAGGGCCCGAAGAGCCGGACAGGCATGAACAGGCAGCTCCGAAAACTCTTCCCACGGGCAGGAGTTTTTGGAGGCCCGCGAGCCTGCGCTGCTCCCCCCCCGTCCCCTGGAGAGCGAGTAGTGGCTCAGTGGTGATCTAGAAGCAAAGCCCAGGACGCTCAGTGGGCCTCCAATGGGCTAGGCCCCCACATAGCTGACACTTCATTCGCTGATCCCCGGTGGAGCACATTAACTTGATCTCGGGCAGTTGTGTGTTCATCATCTCGAGAGCGTCTTTGAAGAACTGGATGACAGGAAGAGATAGCACCGACTCAGAGGTCAGCACGAATCGTGAGGTTACCCGAGAGGGGAGGGGCTGCCAGCGCCGGCAATGACGGTTGGCGCGAAGAACAGCAAAACGCTTTCTTGGCGCGCACTAGCGCAGAAGGAGCGGCGCCAGAGGTGTCGCCACGGGGGGTTCAACGCCGACCCCAGAAATCTGCACGAACGAAGTGGGCACAGAAAGAATGGGTACAATGCCCAACAGCGGATCTTGTTCATTTTGAACAGGACTCGCTGTCCACGCCGCCGCGGCCTGTGTTCATTCGAGACAGAAGGCCGCCTGTCCAGCAGCGGCCGCTGCTGGTTTGGGACAACAGTTGTTGTTGGGCACTGTACCGATTTTTTCCGTACCCATTTCGGGCATCCAACAGAAATCCGCGCAGGCCTCCCTTTGCTTTAGCGTTTTTCTTTTTTTTCTTTGTTTTTTTATGTTTCTTTTCTTTTTTTTTTTATTTTTTTTTTTTTTCTTTTTTTTTTTTTTTTTATTTTTTCTTTTTTTCCCTTTTTTTTTTTTTTTGTTTTATTTTTTTTATTTTTTTTTTTTTTTTTTTTTTTTTTTCTTTTTTTTTTTTTTTTTTTTTTTTTTTTTTTTCTTTTATGCGGCCGAAAGGACGAGGAGGAGGAGGCGGAGGAGGAGGAGGCGGCGCGGAGGTAGTGCAGGAGGAGGCGGATGAGGAGGGGGAGGAGGAGGCGGAAGTGAGGAGGAGGAGGAGGCGGAGAGGGGCGGTTATGAGGAGGATGGTAGGAGGCGGAGGAGGAGGAGGAGGCGGAGGGAGGAGGAGGAGGAGGAGGAGGAGGGGCGGAGGAGAGGAGAGGAGGAGGAGGTGGAGGAGGAGGAAGAGGGAGGGCGCGGTTGGTGCAGGCTTCCCGTCGGAGCGC